GTACCCTGGGCGTCTAGGCTAACCCATGACAAGATGAATGTTTAGCCCCTTTCCTTTTCTGTCTCTCCTGCTTTGTTAAAAAGTAGACTTTGTTAAAAAGAAGACTTCCCCTATCTCCAGCCAGACAGACCTTATTAACTACAAAAATACTAAAAATCCAGCTATCCTATTCCTTCTGTAAAATTTTTTCCTGAGTGCATGCCCCTCCAGCATGGTGAGCCCTGTGCCCCTCTTGTCTGTCTGCCACACTGGTCAGAAAATACACCCCTACCCCAGTTTCAGAGCTATGTGGATGGGGCAGGCAGATGCTGATGGAGCTGACCTCAGCTAACACAGTAACCATTGCAGCAGCACACAGGTGGAGCTGGGGTCAGGGTTTCCCAGGGGAAAGTCAAGGAACATTATTTCCATACGTGTGATGAGGCAGTTTTATTACCTGCCTTGATACTCAGTTCCAAGGAGGAAACTCTATCCAAAAAAGATGTTTCTGGGTGAAGAAACTCACCCACCAGCACAACTATTCTCCTGCCTGCCCCTTCACTGCTGTCAAAACAGCAGGAACAAATACCACGCACTCCAATTCCTTAGGGAAAAGTCAGGTCTCCTTTTTATGTCTCTTCAACTTAACCGAGTTAGGCTTTCTCTGTAACTTGATTTCAAACACACCTGTTTTCTGGTGCTGCTAGAACACATGAATTGAGAGGATGAGATTTCTCAGGAGGCCAGGCATACACTCCCTTGCCAGCTCCAGCAGGGCTGTGTCGGCCACCTTCCTATGGGGCCTGCAGTTAACTGCAGTGTCTCACCTGGCGTGGAGTCCAGGTATTGTTCACAGTGGGCACTCACAACAGGTCACTGACCAACTGTCAGAAATAACCATGCAGTTTCCCTTTTCATAGGCTGTTTACCAAAAGAGAAGACGAAGTGGCCCCACAGCATGGCATAGTCCTGAATTGCTGTCAAGTCTTGGTTCAGATCGGATTCTTTTTCTTACTAGCCAAGCAATATGGGCCTGTATCTTTATCTGTGGATAAACACAACAATGTGCCTCCCCGGATTCCCTTTTTTGAAAGTTGATTGTGGGCCGGGCGCGGTGGCTCATGCCTGTAATCCCAGCACTTTGGGAGGCCGAGGCAGGCGGATCAGCTGAGGTCGGGAGTTCGAGGCCAGCCTGGCCAACATGGTGAAACCCCGTCTCTACTAAAAATAAAAAAATTAGCTGGGTGTGGTGGCACCCGCCTGTAATCCCACCTACTCGGGAGGCTGAGGCAGGAGAATCACTTGAACCCAGGAGGTGGAGGTTGCAATGAGCCGAGATCGTGCCATTCAACTCCAACTTGGGTCACAAGAGCAAGACTCCATCTCAAAAAAAAAAAAAAAAAAAAAGGTTGATTGTGGTCTGTTCCCACTCTAGCCAGAGTCTTCCACTAAAAGAAAAGGAATCGCCTAGAATGAGACAGACAAGGTGCGGCCAAGTGCTAGAGGCCTCAAAGAATTCCAAAATGTTTTATTTTGGTGGGGATGGGGAACCCTCAGGCTTCATCCTGAGCTCATTTCCCTGGTCCTAGCACCGAGGGCCAGGGATTTGTTGTTGTTCTGTCGCCCAGGCTGGAGTGCAGTAGCATGATCTCAGTTTCCTGCAACCTCCGCCTCCTGGGTTCAAGCGACTCTCCTGCCTCAGCCTCCCGAGTAGCTGGGATTACAGGCGTGTGCCACCATGCCCTGTTAATTTTTGTATTTTTAGTAGAGATGGGGTTTCATCACATTGGCCAGGTTGGTCTTGAACACCTGACCTCAAGTGATCCACCCGCCTCGGCCTCCCAAAGTGTTGGGATTACAGACATGAGCCACTGCACCCGGCCAGGCCAGGGCTTTTCAAAAATAACAGCTGGCTCAGGTTCATTTCACAAATCAAAAGACCTGATACTCTGCAAGATAAAGTACCCTCTGCCCACCCTGGGTCTCCCAGCTGGCCAGTGGCAGAGCTAGATTGGAACCCCAACTAGTCTGACTTGAAAGCCCAAGATTTTCCCACCATACAACACAACCTTAGAAGCGAAGCCTGGCCATGCTGGCTGAGAGCCAGGCTCAGAGAACAGGCCTGGGGACCTCCAGAGAAGAAGGTGGAGAGAGTGGGAAGAGGCAGGGAAGGGGAGGGGCCCCTGGGCTCTGTTCCTCGACAGCCGCCTGTTCCCACTCCCTGAACACAGTGTCTGACTCCACCTGCGCTTTGTGGTTGCGGAGTGGGGGGACTTTTTCCATCCTTTGTGTCTTGAGCGGTTTTTTCCTTGCTTTGAGCTTCCCTACTCTCTCTCCGTGTTCCTTTTTGTAGCTAATACTCCCACAGGCCTCCCACGGCCAGCTCCAAAATGCAGCCTCCTGAGTTTCTTCTTGTTGACAGAGGCTTTAAGCATCTCTGAACAGGGATCCTCCTCAACGTTCCCCTCCCTATGACTCCCCACCACGGTCAAATGAGTCAAGAGCTGGCGGAAGGGGAGAGGAAAAGGAGTTACAGTGAGGAGGACTATGGTGCTCATCTCCCAGGGCCCTGCTCAATTTTCAACTCCCCAATCCCTGTCTTACTCTCTCCTAAATGTGGGTCTCTGCCCTTTGTGCATATGGGTTGGGGGCTGGAGGAAAGATGGAAGGAAAAGATAGGGAATTAAAAGAATAAAAGAGGACCGGGCAAGGTGGCTCACGCCTGTAATCCTAGCACTTTGGGAGGCCGAGGCAGGTGGATCACCTGAGGTCAGGAGTTCGAGACCAGCCTGGCCACCCTGGTGAAACCTCGTCTCTACTAAAAATACAAAAACTAGCTGGGCATCCTGGCGAGCACCTGTAGTCACAGCTACTCGGGAGGCTGAGGCAGGAGAATCACTTGAACCCAGGACGCAGAGGTTGCAGTGAGCGAGATCATGCCATTGCACTCCAGCCCGGGCAACAGAGTGAGACTGCGTTCAAAAAAAAAAAAAAAAACAAGGAATAAAAGAAAAAACAATTTTTTAAAAAAAAGAATAGAAAGAAAAAAAGAGGGAATTAGTGACTAAGAGCTGGGGGAATTCATACAAACAAAAGACTGGTCTGGCAGGAAGATCTGAGGGACTGGGTAAACGTGAAGAGAGAGGACAGTGGGCTAAGATCCTGTGCCTGATCACACTCATTCAAAACAGGCCAGATAAAGGAAAGGGTCGGTAGCGGCACCCCCGCTCAGTACGCATTCACATGAGTTCTTTGAGGGGCAATGGGGGAAGGAGTTTAAAGGCCCAAACAGGCCTTTGACTTTTCTCTCTGCAATAAGAATGATAATAACATTCCATAAATATTACTGTATTTTCTTCTCCTGGAAGTGGGAACCAGGGCAGCAAAGGGTGACATGGGCATTATGCCTGGAGCTGCTGGAGGAGGCAGTGCACCTCAGACTAGGGATTTGACCTCTTTGCCTCAAGTTTTTCGTCTGTGAATTGGCAGTTACAGCCAATAACTAGCTCATAACGTTATTATGAAGATTAACTGGATAATCCAAGTAAAGCACTTTGCACAGTGCCTGGCACAAAGTTAATGCTCAATAAGTGTAAGCTGCTGTAATCCTCAGGGGCACCCCACACATTCCATCTTGCCCTGCTCACCCCAACCCAAGGTGTCTGGTTTGGCTTAATGCCCAAAACCAGCCCTGGCAGGTGAGCTGGAAGCCTGAAAGTCTAAACACTTAGGCCTTACAGGGATAAGTGTAAGGCCACCCAGACATGCTACACAAGCCCAGATGACCAGTCCTCTGAGTGCCCATACAGTTAGGCAGAGAGGCAGACCCAACGACCTAGGACTGGGATACTGTCAGGGTTCTAACCCTGGCTGTGTCATTTACCAACTCTGTTACCTTGAGCAAGTCTCTCTCTTCCTCCTCCTCCTCCTCCTCCCCCTCCTTCTCCTCCTCCACTTCTCCTCCTCCTCCTACTACTACAACTCCTCTCCCCTTCCCCCTCCCCCTCCCTCCCTCCTCCTCCTCCTCCTCCTCTTCTCCTCTTCCTCCTCCTGCTCCTCCTCCTTCTTCTTCTTCTTCTTCTTCCTTTTCCTCTTCCTCTTCCTCTTCTTCTTCTTCCTCTTCTTCTTCTTCCTCTTCTCTTCCTCCTCTCTCTCTCTCTCTCTCTCTGTCTCTCTCTCAGCTCTGGTTCCTCCTTTGTGAAATGGAGCATAAGGAGCACCCACCCCGGCTGTTTCACACAGCTCCCAGGAGACTCAAAATCAGATAACAAACATTTACACGTTGCAGGTGTCACACACTGTTCTAGGTCCCCTACACATACTCACTCATTGAATCCTCATTAGGACCCTCTGATGTTATTATTAGCATCCTCATTTTACAGATGAGAAAACTGAGTCAGAGAAGGGTTAATAACTTGCCTTTAAAAATCACACAGACAGGCCAGGAGTGGTGGCTCACGCCTGTAATCCCAGCACTTTGGGAGGCCGAGGCGGGCAGATCACCTGAGGTCAGGAGTTCAAGACCAGCCTGGCCAACATGATGAAACCCGATCCCTACTAAAAATACAAAAATTAGCCAGGCGTGGTGGTGCACGCCTGTAGTCCCAACTACTCAGGAGGCTGAGGCAGGAGAATTGCTTGAACTTGGGAGGCATAGGTTGCAGTGAGCAAAGATAGCTCCAATGCACTCCAGCCTGGGCAAAGGCTCCGTCTCAAAAAAAAAAATAAACAAATAAAAAATCATACAGACCAAAATTTAAAAAAAAAAATTTTTTTTTAAATCACAGGGACAGCAAGTGGCAGACCTGGTTCCCAAGTGGGTGGGTGATTTCAACTGTGGCCTTATCCTGTCTCAAAGTGAACTGACTCCTAAAATGTCTTTCTTTTTAGTAGACGGCTGGGCCGCTGCCTGGAGAGGAAGCCTTGAGCGGCTGGGGGAGGGGATTACTTTACAGCCAGGATCCATCCAAGGCTGGGGATGGGATGGGAGCAGGATCTGCTAAGACCCTAAGTGACCCTTAGTGACCCTAAGGAGGATTCCTTAAGGTCACTCCTCCTCCTGGGGACCAGATTCCAGGCTTCTCAGGACTGGAGAAGGGGGAACGCGTCTTCCCTTCCCAAAGCGCCAGCTCGTTTAGATACAGGTGCCTGGGGCTTTGGCCCTTGTCGCTGACGAGGGGTAGGTGGAACGGGGAACACTCCTTTCTTTCCGATACTGGTGACTGTGAGTGCGTCTCGAAGGATGGGGGTGCTGAGCCTACCGCTTCGCTCGTTAGGGAACAAATTGCTGTTTTGGCCCCGGCGGCTCCTCTGGGCGCGGGCGGCAGCCGAGCTCTCTGGCAAATCGTGGGAGGGAGGAGGAGCGGTGCTGGCAGGCAAGTCCGGGGGACCGTCGCAGCGCGGGAGGCCAAGAAGCGACGGCCGCCCCGGGCCCGGCTCCGCCCCGCCGGGAAGGGGCTCCCTGCAGCCGCCCCCGGGCAGCTCCCCGCACGGCGCCGCGAGGAGCTCTCCAGGACTGAGCTGGGTGAGGCGCGGGGCTCGGCCTTCCTCGCTCCCCCGGTGCCAGGACCCGCATGCACAAGGTTCGGAAGTTTTATGCAGTGTCTGACCCCTGTCGGTCCCCTGTATTTACCACCCAATCCTCTAGCGCGCTTAGGAGAGGCAAGAGGTGACAAAAGCCAGAGGGAAATGGAGGGGCAGGACAAAGGGTCTGGCGTTCCCCTCCCCACCACACACCCTTTCCACCCACGGGGTCACACGGAGGACGTCTGACCCTTACTCCTAGGGCTACCCACCCTCTGGTTTCCCGGCAGCTCCTGCTTGCGGGGGCACTTCATAAGAGCAGCTGGATCCATTTTCCAGAGAGTCAAGTTGAGGATGAGAAAGTCTCGAGGGCCGGACAGCTGTGCGCGCAGAACCCCCGCCCCATCTGCTTTTAGATTTCCCGGGTGTGGCTGGAGCCCCTCTAGAGCGCCGGCCTTCGCTGGCCGCCGGGCCTTCACCTGCGCCTGTCGCCCTGTCCCCTTGCCCACTGCATTTTCCTCGGGAAGAGCATCTTCCACAGCATGCGCCCCCCACCCCACACGCCCCGAGCCCTTCTCCCATTCCGCCGGGGGAGAAGCGGCTGCTAGGAGGCTCTCGGAGAGCCCCCGGACTGCGGAGAAAGACGCCTCCCCTCTGCAGCTGAGGCCGAGTCAGCGGGAGGGGGCCGGCCGTTCGCCAGTGGTTCTCCGAGGGACTGGCGGGGAGGCCCGCAGGGTAGGATCAGGGCGGTCGCCGCCTCCCCGCCCCCACCGAGGTCCCGAAGGGAGGGGAGCCCTCGGCGGGAGGCCTGTCCCTTTAAGGAGGCGGCCCTGGCTGGGTGTGCCCCGTCTCCATGGTTACCCCGGTGCAGGCGGCGGGCGCGGGAGGGAGGGAGGGAAGCTGCAGCTTCTCCCCGACAGACGGAGGGAGCTGCCGAGAGCCGGCGCCGAGCGAAGCCCGAGCGGAAGCCCACCCGCAGCCGACACGCGAGCCGCTGTCGCGGAGGGAGGTGCTGAGAGCGCCGCGGCTGCGGGGCCTGGAGCCCGGGATTCGTGGGCGGCGAGGGTGCGAGGGGTCGCGCGCCATGCTCCGGGTCCCGACGGCGCGGACGCCCCCTCGCGCGCCCGCGGCCGGCGCGACCCGAGATCCCGGTCTGGGCATTGCCCCCCGACGGCTGCGCTAGGGAGCGCGGGGCCCGGCGGGGGGCGGCCGAGCTGGGCGCCCTCCCCCGGCGCGGAGTCCCCGCACCCCGGAGGGATGGGGCCGGCAGCCGCGGGCGCCTAAGATGCCGGCCATGCGGGGCCTCCTGGCGCCGCAGAACACCTTCCTGGACACCATCGCTACGCGCTTCGACGGCACGCGTGAGTCCGACCCTCGCCCACTAGCACCCGGGCCGCCGGACCCTCGCCAGGGCTCCCGCCTGCCCTGAACCCCCAGCAGCCCAGCTTGGCGCCCGCCAGTTCTCACCCTCTACTCCCTACCCGCCCCTCTTGAGGCTGGGGCCATCGTCTCCTGCTAGGAGCCGTTTCCCCGAAGGTTCGGGGTCAACACTGCTTCAGGCGAGGCAACAGGACCAGAAGTCCCTGGGTGTGGGTCCTGGGATGCTCTCTGTTAGCTGGGTCTCCAACCCGAACCTGGTCAGTCTGACCCGTCCCACCCCTGCGTCTGGCGCTGTCGCAGCAACTACCCTCAGACTGGCGGGGTAAGGCGAGGCGGGTGAGCAGTGCTCGGGGACAGCTGAGAGGGCTCAAAAAACAGATTTAGAAAAGAGATTTGCAAACGGAGATAGAGTAGGCGGGACTCGGGAGAGCATGGTGTGTCCAAGCCCCGTGTCTCATAGCCTGAACCCCCTAGACTTGGGGAGGCCATCTAGCCCCAAGAAGATGGTCTGGGGACTCCCATCAGGACTGGCGAAGTTTGGAGAAGGCGCCCCAAGCTCTGGATCCCCGGTTCCGGGGGCTCTGAGCACAGGGGAAGTGGTGAAAGCCCCTCCCCCCTCCTCTCCCTCACATCCCCCGTGGGGCTTCCCAGCTCTCTGCCTAGGTCCTCCTTGGTCTCCGGTTCCTGATAGGGGGTGGGAGCCCAGCACTGAGCTCTCCCCCCTCTGGGCTCCTCCATCTGCTTTGCCAGTTTGCTTGGCTCCTGCAGCCTGCTGATTCAGTGCCCCCTACTCCCCAATACATTCCTGGCTCCTGGCTCCCGAGCTCAGTCACCATTCTTACACCCCCATTCTTGATCACATTCACTAATTCCTGAGCCAGGTCAGGCAGCTAGGGCTAAAACACAGACAGCAGGATGTATGGTGGTCTGGGGTTGCCTCCCAGTCTAGGTGTGTCCCAGTGGGAGAAGCCAGACAGCCAACCTGGGTACCTGGCTTGTGGGTGAGCCTGGCAGAAGTAGAGGTGGGGCTGAGGCTGGCGCAGAGCTGGCAGTGCAGTCCTTGTTAGGGAATCCCCAATCCCAGCCCTTACCCCACATTGCTCAGGACACCCTCCAGAGGGCACAGTGCCCGTACAGCGTTTCATTCACTGACCTCAGTTCACACGTACTGATCCTTGAATGTACTCACACCTGCTGCAGGGCACTGACAAACAGGTGACACACACTAATTGCCATTCATAAACAGCCCGGCCCTAACACACACAGGATTCCTGGGGTTTGAAAAACCCACTATTTGGTTGCAGGTATTTGGGAAAGGAGGGGTGGTAGGCCTCCTGCCCCTTCACCCCACGCCTCCTCTGAGAGGTGCTCTCTTGCAGACAGTAACTTCGTGCTGGGCAACGCCCAGGTGGCGGGGCTCTTCCCCGTGGTCTACTGCTCTGATGGCTTCTGTGACCTCACGGGCTTCTCCCGGGCTGAGGTCATGCAGCGGGGCTGTGCCTGCTCCTTCCTTTATGGGCCAGACACCAGTGAGCTCGTCCGCCAACAGATCCGAAAGGCCCTGGACGAGCACAAGGAGTTCAAGGCTGAGCTGATCCTGTACCGGAAGAGCGGTGAGGGGCCACCTGGCCAGCCTGCCTCACCTTTGCAGTCTTACCCAGCCTGGCACCAGCCCCATCCACTGTCCCTCCTCCTTTCTGTTGCCATCTTCTCCATCTCCCCATCTCATCCCATCTTTCCATCCCCGCATCCAACCCCTCTTGCTCCATCTGACCTCTTGCCCGTGGCTCCCCATCTCTACCTGCCTCACCCTAGACTCAGCCTGCATTCAGTTCCAACCTTGGGTTTCCCGCATCCAACAGAAAAACATCCGCATTTCGGCAGGGCAGATCTACCGCGGGACAGGTCTGGCTGTCATGTTTGCTCTCCTTTGCCTCCGCCCCCCAATTCCATCAAGCCCTGCCCTCAGTGAAACTGGACTGCCAGCCCCTCCCCCAGGAAACCACTGGATCCTGCCTGTGTCTTGCCCAGGATGTCAGTGGAGCCAGGGCCTCTGTCACCTCAGGCAGTGCCAAGAATGGGAGGTGGGCTGAGTTTGTTTTTGTGCCCAGGGCTCCCGTTCTGGTGTCTCCTGGATGTGATACCCATAAAGAATGAGAAAGGGGAGGTGGCTCTCTTCCTAGTCTCTCACAAGGACATCAGTGAAACCAAGAACCGAGGGGGCCCTGACAGATGGAAGGAGACAGGTAGGTGCATATAGGTGCTGTGGTTGGGGTGTTGGGTGCTGCAGGCCTGGGCGGGGCCTTGGCACCCAGTCTGAGTATGGGGGTCCCCCATGCCTCCTGTATTCATTTCACTCCCACTCGGGCTGCCTGAGAGGCCTGTGCTGCTCTCATCTCCACGTGATTCCTCGGTATGGGAATATTTTTTCCAAATAGACAGATTGAGACAAAGTTAGAGTTTTTTGTTTTGTTTTGTTTTGTTTTTTTGAGACGAAGTCTCACCCTGTTGCCCAGGCTGGAATGCAGTGGTGCGATCTGGGCTCACTGCAACCTCCGCCTCCTGGGTTCAAGCAATTCTCCTGCCCCAGCCTCCCAAGTAGCTGGGATTACAGGCACGCGCCACTACGCCCAGCTAATTTTTGTATTTTTAGTAGAGACAGGGTTTCACTATATTGGTCAGGCTGGTCTCAAACTCTTGACCTCGTGATCCACCTGCCTTGGCCACCCAAAGTGCTGGGATTACAGACGTGAGCCACCCCGCCCAGCCGACAAAGTTAGAGTTTTTAAATCAACTTTATTAAGAAACTGAAAGCAAACAAACCCCACTGTACCCGTGAAACATTACTTTCTGACCAGTTAATAAGGTTGAGCACAGACCCACTAGGTTCCTCTTCCCTACAGCAAACCTGACTAGGGGTGGAGCTCTGGGCAAAGCCTGCTTTTAAGTTCTTTGAGTCTTCCCCCTCTCGTGTCCTCCAAGGCTGGGGCAGGCCTTTGGGCAGGTTACAAAACTGTCAAGGCCTCTTTGCCATTTGGGGATGCTGGGGGTGCTCTCCATTCCCACTCCCATACTGCCAGTGCTGGGTCTGCCTCTCCATGATGTCAGCCTTCATTGTCACCCTCTGGTCCCTGCACTAGCTCCTGGCTCCTGCTGTAAGTTCCCACACCTCTGCTGATGGCCTCCTGCTAGTTCTCCACCCTGACCCTGTGAGGTACCTCCTCGCTTCCTGTCCCAGGCCTTTCCCCATAGAGATCCTCTGGTCCAAACCTCCTCTTCCTGGAAGCAGACCCCAGAGGTAGTGTCTGTAAGCACTCCTAGGACTGCCCATTGCTGGGCTGGGCAAGCGAACCCAGGAAGTGAGGAATACCTGAGCCCTCAACTCTAAACAGTCTAAGTGGTCAATGAGCCAGACCAGTCTATGGGCCAGCAACTGTGTCCTACACCTGACCCGGAGCTAGGGCATGTGGGCACACACCCATCATATTCATGGGCCCCTCTGCTTTTGCAGGTAGTGGCCGGCGCCGATATGGCCGGGCACGATCCAAAGGCTTCAATGCCAACCGGCGGCGGAGCCGGGCTGTGCTCTACCACCTGTCCGGGCACCTGCAGAAGCAGCCCAAGGGCAAGCACAAGCTCAATAAGGTGGGCTGAGCCCTGGGAGGTGTGGGAGAGGGGAGCGGCAGACACAGGAGATGGGGAAGGGGACTTGATCTACCACAGAGAGAATGTCCTAGGGGCCACCTAGGCCTTGCCAGCACTTTGGGGGTTGGGACTGAAGGATCACATGCCTGATCCATCAAAGGTACAGAAGAAAGTCCTGGCCTGGGAGGCAGGTGGGCCTTGGTTCAATCCTGGCTCCTCCCCTAAGCAGCTGTGTGGCTGCAGCTAAGTCACTTAACTTGCCTGATCTTTAGTTTTCTGATCTATAAAATGGAGACGCTAATGTCATCTCGAAGCAGATGTTGCTTCGAGAACGCAGGGAGAGAAAGGAGGTGGATGTGGGTCCCAGACTCTATCCAAACTCAGCTTGTGCCAATATTCTTTTCTCTGCCTGGACCTGCCATGCTTCACTCAGGGGGTGTTTGGGGAGAAGCCAAACTTGCCTGAGTACAAAGTAGCTGCCATCCGGAAGTCGCCTTTCATCCTGTTGCACTGTGGGGCGCTGAGGGCCACCTGGGATGGCTTCATCCTGCTCGCCACGCTCTATGTGGCTGTCACCGTGCCCTACAGCGTGTGTGTGAGCACAGCACGGGAGCCCAGTGCCGCCCGCGGCCCACCCAGCGTCTGTGACCTGGCTGTGGAGGTCCTCTTCATCCTTGGTGCGTGCACTCTGCCCCTTCCACCCCACCCTCTGCTGGCACCCTGGGGCTTTGCTGGGGATAGTCCACGTGGCTCCTAGGGCCCTACAGTGCGCCCCTCGCCCTCTCTCATTTGTAACCTGTGAGCTTTGAAATCAGACCTAGGTTCCAAACATCTGCCACTTACAAGTTATATGACCCTGAGCTGGTCAAAGCCTCTCTGAGCCTCCATAAAATAGATTCCCCCTTTGTAAAATAGGCAAAATGATGTCTACCTGTTACAGTTACTGTGAGAACTAAGTCAGATGATATATGGAAAGGGCCGGGGACAGTGTCAGCTACTGAGAAGGTAAGCAGGTGTCCAGGCAAGAGTGGCTGCCCCCCAGCCCCAGTGCTGACTCCCACCTGGATTCCCCACAGACATTGTGCTGAATTTCCGTACCACATTCGTGTCCAAGTCGGGCCAGGTGGTGTTTGCCCCAAAGTCCATTTGCCTCCACTACGTCACCACCTGGTTCCTGCTGGATGTCATCGCAGCGCTGCCCTTTGACCTGCTGCATGCCTTCAAGGTCAACGTGGTCAGTGTGGCTGGGCTGGCTGGGTGGGTGGACTTGGCCAGGGGACAGGCAGGGCCAGCCTGGCTGACCTCCCTCCCTCCCTCCCTCCCCGCATCTTAGTACTTCGGGGCCCACCTGCTGAAGACGGTGCGCCTGCTGCGCCTGCTGCGCCTGCTTCCGCGGCTGGACCGGTACTCGCAGTACAGCGCCGTGGTGCTGACACTGCTCATGGCCGTGTTTGCCCTGCTTGCGCACTGGGTTGCCTGCGTCTGGTTTTACATTGGTCAGCGGGAGATCGAGAGCAGCGAATCCGAGCTGCCTGAGATTGGTACTGGAGGCTCCCTCTGCATGTGGTGGGGAGGGAGTTGTGCAAACGTGTCAGAGGAGTGTGAGCACAAGTGTGGGTGCTGTGTCAGGGACCTGTGCAAGTCTGCATGTGTGCAAATCAGAGAAGAGGGTGTGCAGGTGTGAGTATGACAACCACCACCATGTGACAGGCCTGTTCTCCAGCAGCTGGGCCTTGTGGAGAAAGCCCAAGGAATCTCAGTCGCCCATCCAAGGCCTCCTGGGACCACATTCCTTAAACCCCTGCCCCGTTGGGAAGGCCAAGCAGGGAGCCACTGCCCTCCAGGGTTTCTCTGATACCCAGCACTCTCCACCCCTTCCCCTGCATCCTCTTTGAAGCTTGATCCCAATACCTTGGCTTCCAAAGCCCCTGCCTTCTCTTGTCACCTCCAGTCCACATTGCTCCTGTCATCTCCAGTCCACATTTCTCCCTGCTGCATCTCTGCTCTCCCCCAGCCTAAAAAGCAGCCTTTCTGCGTCCCCAGCATCTTCACTCTCCTTCATGTCACCTCTCTTCCTTCCACAGCTCCTCCCTCTGCTCACCACCCACTCACATCTTAACTCCTGCTGGGAGGGCTTCCACCCCCACCTCTGCACCCAAAATGTCACCCGGAAGGTCACAGTGACCTTCTGGGGCCAAACCCTCATCCTCCTCGAAGTTCCTGTATCTGCCAACCACAGTTCCTCTCAGCTGTGGGTGATGCAGCTCTTGGCTGGCCTCCTCCCAGCTCCTCCAAGTTCCAGGGTCTCCAGACCTTTTCCTCACAGCTCTCCCGCTTCACCTTGCTTTCCCTCGGCCATTCCACTGACACCACTGAGTGAACATCTCAACTTCCCCCTTTAGCCAAACCATTCCATTCTAGCTGTTTTTAACTCTCACTGTGCCTCAGGTCCAAAATCAAGCCTGACTTCTTCCTCCCCAGCCCTCCAGCCCTCTCTCATCTTCCAGGTAACTGACATTTAGCCGGGTTTCCAGGTGCAGGTGGCCTCTTATGACTGTCTGCTCCTTGTTGGAGTCACCAGGTGTCCAGGTCAGCCTTAGAAACCAGGTCTGACCAGTTCTCTGGGAACTACAAGGCTCCTGTGAATCCTCTCTCCCTCTCAAGCTCACGGGAGGCCTGTGTGTGTCACAGAGGGCCCACTTGAAATTTCCCCCGAGTGCTCTCACTGCTGAGCTGGTGGAAACCAGGACACTCCAGGCAGTGACAGCTCCTTGGTGCCTGCCATTCCCAGAGGAAGCCTGTGGTAGCAGCTGCTCTGGGGTCAGATGACCACACGGCAAACACAGTCAGAGGGCCAGGAGACAGACAATGGTGAAACAAAGCCTGTCTCCACCACCCAGCCCCGAAGTGAGCTGAGACACCAAATCCCCAGGTCCACTCCCGCCCCCTGAAATGGG